ATCAACAACCTTTCCTTCCACTTCCTGTGGTGGGAAGAGACTGGATTGGAGAAGGTGCCAGAATAGGGTTGGGTATCCCTGGGAAGACCTGGCTCGGGCTGCAAGATGCTGTCCTTCCACTTGACACAGAGACCAGCAAGTCTCAAGGACATGCTGGGGGCTCATGGCCAGGGGACTCACCTGACCATGTCAAGGGTGCAGAGCCCACCCAGTGGACCTGGGCTGCAAGGACTGAAGTTTTTACTTGACCCGAAGGTGTCCACAGCAAGTCTTTCTGGAGGATCTATTCGGTGCTGGGCTGCTTCTTCTAAAAACTCACCCTGCCACAGGAAACCAGAGCAAAGCCATCTCTTCCTACCTAGGCCCCTGCCCTCCAAACTCTGACCACTTCTGAAGTCCCAACATGCCTGTGGCCTTCCTATCCATGCACAGGTAGCCACGCTGAAGCCTCACCTGGCCTGCAGTCATTGCCACTAGAACTCTCCAGCACTTTGCTAAAACCCTCACATGCTCCCAGGTTCGGGTGGCCTCTCTTTGGGCTGCGTCCCCTCCATTCTACCTGGTAAGGCCCTTGAGGATGTTCCCAGGGACATGCCACTCCCCAAAGGGCCTCCTCCCTCTCCAGCCGCCCCCAACGCCTTCCTCGCCGGGTTCTCTCACCACAGCATGCACAGAGTTTTAGTTTGGGGACTCTGCCTGCTGTTCAGGACTCATGTTCATTTTCAGACCCTCTGGCATTGAGAAAATATCCTACCTTTAAATGTACCGAAATGTGCTTTCCCCAAGTCTAGGGGAACATTTCTGGAGACTATGCCGTGTTCCAGGTTGCGTGCTCGGGGCTGAGGAGGGTACACAGGTGGACTAACCCAGCCCTGCTGTGTGAGGGAGACAGGCTGGAGAGTGAAGTTAGGGAAGCAGATTTTCATATTAAAGGGCACCTCGAAGGGCCTTTCACTCAGCCTGGGGGGCCTAGAGAAGGTGAATACTGAGCTGAGGAACTGCACGAACCTGGAGGCCGGGGGTGGAGGCAGGGAGTTGTGGGCAGGGCCATGGAGGGGAGTGTGGCAGGGAGAGCCCAGGCTCACAGGAACTAGTCAGGGGAACCCAGAAGGCCCCAGGAAGCCAAGTTAAAGACTCCAGGCTCTGTCGTGAGCCAGTGCAGGAACCACTGGAGGGTTTGAAACCACACGTCACATGGTCTGGTCTGCATTTTGAAGGTCCTTTCTGGAGCAGTACTCAGGAGGTGGCACTGGAAATGTGGATGAGTGGCTAGGTGCAGGCATGAGGGACGAGAAGTCAAGCTGGTTCCACGTTCTGGGTGCATGGTGGTGGAAATTCTCCAAAATATTCTCACAGGGTGCCTTTTCTCTTCTCTACTCGTTGAATTCTCACCCAGAAGCTTTCAGAATGGTGCACTTTGGGTGACCACTGCGTTTGATGGTTTTGGGGAACAAGAGTTCCATGACTGTGGCCAACAGCTTTGAGATGTTATATCCTGTGCTGAGGCCTGTTCTCCCCACACGTGCTACCAGCTGCAAGCGCGGGTTGGCCAGCGCCTGTGCCTGCCTCACTTAGGGCTCTCAAGGTGGGCAGGGCCCTGGTGGACTGAGAGACGCTGCCTCCGGACTGTCCATTTCCTCCTGTGAGGGTTTAGGATGGGGCCTGTGGCACTGGGGACTCAGAGTGACCACCTGGGAAAACAGGTAGACTCGGGCTGGCAGGACAGCCCTCTCTGCCGAGCCAGACGCAGAGAGGCGGATCTGCAGAGGAGGCCTGAAAGGGGCGGCCTTGCAAAAATAACAAGAAAATACCTGATTTTATAATTTCCCCAGTAATGGCCAAAGATTAATCCTACGAGTTCTCTCATTAACCGGCACCCTGCAGGAGTTCTGTTTTGCACAACTTCTGAAGAAAGCTGAATGGACGGAAAAGAGGTGTAACTCTCTTTCAAAATTGTTTTTTAAGAAACTGCTTTTACAGAGTTCCTGAGTAAACAGCAGGAAAACAAGCTACAGCCTCAACCACATCTCGAGGACAGAGTCACATCTCCTGTGATAATCCTTTCTCGAAGGAAAGGTAGGAAACCAACTTGGACTCCAAAAATGCGCCTGTATCCCTGTAATAAATTCTCACTTTTCAAATCCTTCAGCGAATCTTTGATTCTTGCCATCAAAAGAGTGTTGACTAAGACAATGGCTGTGCCTTGGCCTCCATGATCTGATACGTGGGTCTTTGTCCCCGTGGGTTGGTTTAGGACCCACTCCCAGGGCACAGCACGGACAGGGGAGGCAAGAGAAGAGGGACCCATCTTCTCACTTGCTGTTTCCCCAAGAGCTGCTGGGCATTTCCTCTGCTCTGGTCCCTGTGGGGCCTCTCGTGAGGCAGCCAGAGGGGCCCAGGTGTTTTCTGGGGGACAGGATCCCACCCTTGCTCAGGTCTTTACCCCCCCTTCCCTGCCCCCCCCACAGGCCTGTGGGGTTCAGGGAACACCACCCTTCTGGGGCTGTGTGAGTCGGGGTGAGAACATGGCCCTGGGAGGTGTTCCTAGGGGGCCAGGAGCTGCTTGTCCCAGGTCATCCAAAGAACTCCCCATGGAGAGCAGAGGGCCCCAGAGGCTCAGCTAGAGGAAGGGAAGTGCAAGTGTGCCCAGAAAGGTGTGGCACACCTTCCCCACTTCCAGAAGCCCACCAGCCCTGCCACCTCGTTACCCCACCCCCTAGGGCATCCATGCTTGAGAGCTGACCCCACACTGCCTGGTTGGCCGCCCCCTCTAAGGAGTTCAATTATGGCAGCAGCTTCATCACCTCCTCTGCCTGGTGCCCAGGGCTGGGCCCTGAGCCCCACCTGCTCTGCTGGGTGGGGCTGGGGTGGGAGGCTGGATAACAGATTGTTCCACCAGGGCCCTGCTGGGGAAGGAGACCTGTGGTATTGACTCCTGGCTTGGCCACTGACTTAGGAAAGTCCCTTCTTCCAAGCTTCAGCTTCCACACCTGTCAAATAGGTGGCTTCAGTACCTTCATCAACTCTCCTGGCCCAGGCTGAGAAAGAGGCTTGGTATGTTTTTGTTTGCTCTTGTGGGGAAATCTTACCTTCAAAGTACAGGTTGTTGTTGGCACTTTATGACAATAGCAGTGGCCAATGATTGACTTGATTACAATAACTGAGAGGAGAGAGTGGTCAGAGGATTACTTCCCAAGACCCCAGGTTTCTAGTCCTCCCTGGGAAGCTGGGGCCTAAATTCCTCCACCGCTGGTCCCCCCCCCCCAGTGTCAGAAAATACAAAAATGCCTAAATGGCCAGTTGCTAATTGCATCCTACGAGGATATCTTAAGCCTGGCTAGGATATGTTGGTCCTGCTGGTGATGCGGCTGCTTAGAAGTGACCACAGTGGGAGTCATTCTGACGGTTTGAACTAGAGAAGGAGTAGGGTGGCCCTGGAGAGACCAGCCCTTCCTGATGGCAGCCTCCGGGGGCCAAGAGCCCCCAGCACAGGTGCCAGGCTCAGGTGAGTCAGGTGGAAGGGCCATGGGTCAGGGGGCGGGGCATAGCCCGCATTTAGCTTCCAGCACAGCCATGGGCAGAGTGGGCAGGGGCCTCCCTCCTCGGGGGGTGGGGGGGGGAGCCCTCCAGGCAAAGAGCTGGCCCTGGGCCCTTGCTGGAGGCCACAGCCTGCCTGCTCCCACTGGACCTGTCTGCCAGGGCACCCCCATCCCTGATCCTCACTGCAGCCCTGATCTTCATCTGAGTCACCCTTTGATGAGGCACCGTTTCCTGTCTGCACCCCGTTATTAACTGGACTGTGCCTTCTTGCACTGCGTACGCCCCTGCCTGGCTATCAGAAAACTGCAGGGGCAGCAATGGGCAGCCTAAGAACTCCGCTGCCAGCTCAGCCTTCATTCAAACATAGGTCCCGTCTTCACTGCTAACTCCGCCAGGTGCAGTGGAACATCTCGGGAGCCTCTCACCCAGCCCACAGACCAGCCCTGAGCTATTGCCCTGGGCTGAGCTTGAGGTCCCAAGAGCCACACACCTAGCCCTCTCTCCAGGGCTGCCAACCAGGGGCTGGGGGCTGTCGTGGACTCTTGCAAACTTACTACTGCATTAAACAAGAGTCACACATGTTTGATGCATGAAAATGTATCAAAAGGGTGCATTAAACCAGGTGAACAAAAGGGAATTAAAAATTATTGAGAATTCCCCTGGAGATGATCACTGTCTTACACCTTCACTCCATGTGCCTTTCTGTAGTCTGCTGTCTGCACTTAGTAATGCATCGTGAGCACCTTTCAGGTCAAAAGAGACATTTTCACATCATTTTCTTAGATGACTGCCCAGTGTGGCATGGGTGATGCTCATTTCACCAACTCCTCAAGGGTGGACTTTGGGACAGTTTCTGGTGCTATGACTAATGCTACCGGGACACCCTCCAATACTTCCCCACGACCAGCTTGGCTACAGGCGACTTTCTGGGCATACTCCTGATCACTTCTCTCAGCTGAGGACTGGACAGGGTACAGCTAGGCCAAAGGGCACACTTCTTTTGGGATCTGCCCTCCCAAAGGACTGCGCCTGTCAGATTGTGCCTCTGTGCCAAGTCAGCCTGGCTATGGGTGCTAGGTGTGACCTCTGGGATCAGAACAGCCCCAGGGGGGAACGAGCCTACTTCCTGGGCCTGTGGGTCTTATGATCCCTTGGGCCAGGGCTTCACAAGGTGACTGTTTTCCCAGGCCCCAGATTGGGCTGTTGGGGCTGGGCATGGAATATAATCTTTGAAATTGGGCCTCCCTAGATAATCCAGAGCCCCTGAGCTGCATCCTGGACCCAGCCTGGGGGAGGCAGCCCTTACCTGAAAAGATCTGTGGGGGAAGAGGGAGCCCAGGCTTCCACCCCAGGCCACCAAGGGCGGTCCAGGTAGGCCCTGCCCCCTACCCTAGGCCTCCGCCCCTGCCCTTCCTACGCTGTGGGCGGGAGCCCAGGTAGCCCAAACCTGTCAGGCCGGTTTCAGAGCTGTGGAGTGGAGACACAGGGACGAGGCTGGTGAAGGATGCACGGCCTGCCCCCGTGCTCGCCCGCTCACTCCTGAGCCTGAGCTTGTTCCGCTGCCCACCCATCAGACACCATGAGGCGCACACCTGGCCTCCTGGCGCCCCTGCTGGGCCTGGGCCTGGGGCTGGCCCTGAGTCTGCCAGGGCTGGCAGCTGCAGACTGCGGGCCCTTCAGACCAGCTGAGCACCTGGCGTTCGCCCGGGTGGCCAGAGCCCAGTGGCTGGCCCCTCGTGTCCGTGCCCCAGGGCCCCTGGACCTCCTCTATGGCACCGTGCGCCGCTTCCTCTCTGTCGTGCAGCCCAATCCCTTCCCTTCAGGTGAGTGTGTCCCTCCCCTCAGGTGGGCCTCAGCTGGTATTGGGTCCTTAGCCAGATTTCTGTCTCCCTTCCACAGTGGGTGTGCCCACCCTGTCCGGAGACACTTGGGCAGCAGGGACCCTGCATTCCCCACCACCATCTTCCTTTGCAATAGTCCTGGGGCACAGGGGCAGCATCTGGAGAGGGCTCCCAAACCTTCCCGTGTGACCTTGGCCAGACCCCTTTCCCTCTCTGAGCCTCAGCTGCTCTGTCTATAAAGTAAAGGAGTTTGCCTTAGCACTATGTCACATTAGGCCTGGCTCAGACAGTCTCTGAGTCTAGTGGTGCTAGGGGCTGGAGGGCCAGGAGGGGCTGAAGGACCCCTCCCAGGCCTGTCCCTTTCCTCTTGAGGGGAATGACTGCGAGGCTAGGCTCCTCCTCTGCCTCTGCCCAGGCTGCAGAGGGTCCTGTGGGGTCCAGGAGGGGAGTCTGCCGGCCTCCCCTCAGCTGCTCCCTCCTGCAGCAGCACTGAGGCCTGGGCAGGGTATCACAGAGGATAGTGGCACTGCCTTCTCCAAGGGTGGGAGTGGCCCTATCCCAGAGCCCACCTTGGCCTGGCAGTGGGGAGAGGGTGGACACAGGGGCACGGTGGTGGCTGACCCCAAACCCCCAACTTGGCTCTTCCCGGTAGAGTTGGTGAAGACCCTGCTGAATGAGCCCGCCTCGGTGAAGGTGGATGAGGTGAGAACCGAGGGAGGGGCTGGGAGGGAGCACAGCAGGTGGGGGGGGGGGCAGAAAAACCACCACTCAGGGTCCACCAGGGTGGGGGGCTCGAGCATCCTTCCCCCTCCTCCGCGGGCACTACAGTCCCCAGACCCGCACCCAACCATAGCTCTGCCGTTTCCTGGCAGTGGGGTTTGCTGTGAGCTCGAACCTCCTCGAACTTCAGTTTGCTCCTTTGTAAGATGGTAACTGACAGTGAGGACAGGGCCTACCACCTTTGCACCCCCCCCTTTGGGTTTCCCTCTGGCCTCGGGTGGGAGCCATGGCGGCTGGAGGGGACGGCCCCTCATGCCTGGCTGCCCTGCCCAGGTGGTGCGGTACGAGGCAGGCTACGTGCTGTGTGCTGTGATCGCAGGCTTCTACCTCCTGGCAGTGCCCACCGCTGGGCTCTGTTTCTGTTGTTGCCGCTGCCGCCGGCGCCATAGGAGCCACATGAAGACAGAGCACGAGGCGATGGCCTGTGAGCGCGGCACCCTCATGGCCTTCCTGCTGCTGACCACCCTCGTGCTGCTGTGAGGGGCTGCCCAGGGCAGGCGGGAGGGCTGGGCCGTGGCCCGAGGCTCCCATGGGCACCGGACAAGCCCCTTCCTCCGCGCTCCATCCCTGCAGGGCTGGCGTCGTCTGTGCCTTTGTCACCAACCAGAGCATCCACAAACAGATGGGCCCCAGTGTGCAGGCTGTGCCTGAGACCCTGCTCAGCCTCCGGGGCCTGGTCTCTGATGTCCCCCAGGTGAGCACCGAGTATCCCCCTCACACCCGCGTGCCCCTATGAGCACCAGGCTGGGGCAGGACAGAGCAGAGTGGGTCCTCTATAGCCATAGCCGGCAGAGCAGAAAGAGAGCCCCTGCTCCCTACAGCTGGCTGCCCCTGCTGGGGCACCCATGGTGTTCTCAGGATGGATGCCCAGTCCTGGGGTCAGGGAAGGGATGGGAGTCAGGGCTGACGGGTGACAGAGAAGGGCAGCCTCATGCCCCCATGTTTGCCCAGGAGCTGCGGGCTGTGGCACAGCAGTTCTCCCTGCCCCAGGAGCGAGTCTTGAAGGAGCTGGACGGTGAGGGTCACAGCTGGCTGGCAGGGCCCCTGCTCAGGCCAGCTGGTGATGGGGGTGGGGGAGGCTGTCACTGCCTCATCCCACCACTCCACCCGGGCAGGGGTGGGAATGGAGCGCAGCTGGAGAGCAGGCACAGCAGCCTCTGCACAGAGGGTGGAGAAGCCAGCGCCCACCCTGGGGGGCCCAGTGCCTGGCTGGGGAGGCCGGATGGAGGGGTGGGAGCCCCTCCACCCTTGGGGACCATCCCTGCAGACTGCCCTGTGCTCGGCAGGTGTCGGCATGAGCATCGGAAGCACGATCCACACCCAGCTCAGCAGCTCCGTGTACCCGTTGCTGGCCTCAGTGCACAGCCTGGGCCAGGGTGAGCTGGACCAGCGGGCCATGTGGGTGTGGGGCCAGCAGGCATCCCGGGGCAGGCCCACCTCACCCAGCCCTGGATTTCTTGTGCTGCCTCAGCTCCACCATGAGTTCCCCTTTATATTATCCCAGGATCCCCAGTCCTGGCATACTGTGCCTTAATAGCTTAACGTGCCTGGGGCGATTTCCACGGTACCCACAGAGGTCAAGGACTGCAGGTCCCTCTGGCTGGGGGAGGGGGATGGTCTGCCTCCCGCAAAGCCTCTGAGGATGGTGGGTGGTGCTCAGGCCAGATGTGGGTCTATCAGCCCTTCAGGTCACCGTGGACCACCTCCGAGCCCTCAACGACACTACTGCAGAGCTGTGGGCAGCGCAGCAGGACCTGGCGCCAGCTGTCCAGGAGCGCAAGGAACACCTCCTCCACCTGCTGCAGGAGCCCTTGTGCGAGGGGGACTGCGCGGGGGCCCTGAGCCGTGTCAGCGCCCTAGAGCTGGGTGCTGACTTCAGCCAGGTGCAGGCCCAGGACAGAGGCCTCTTAGAGCTGCGCAGGGCAGCTCTGCCACTGCCCTTGGATCCCTGGGCATCTGATGGTCCTGGGGCTTCCAGAGGCAAATTCCTGATCCCCTCCACGGGCTGCCTCTCCCCTGCTCCACGCGCCCATGGCTAGTGATGGTCATCCCGGCAGTGGGTCGCCAGCTCTCATTGGGCCATGCAGTGTGCTGTGAGCTGCACCTGTATTAGCCCCTAATACAGTTCTTGCTGCCCCCTTCCCAGGGTCAGCAAGGGGACTGTGGTGGTCCCGATTTTATACTTGAAGACATAAAGGGTTCAAAGGCTTCTGCCCCGTCCTGCTACAGGAGTCTCCCTCAGGCCTCTCCGTGAACTCTGTCATAACCCCCCACCCTCATTTCAGGTGCCCTCTCTGGACGATGTCTTGCATCAGCTGAAGGGTGTCCCAGAGGCCAACTTCTCCAGCATGGTCCAGGAGGTGAGTGCCCACCTGACTCCTCCCCCAACTGAGGACTCACAGATGAGGCCCTCAGCCTCCCCTTTTTGGAACAGGAACCCAAGACTTGAACCTGGGACTTGGGGACTCACATCCCATATGGCACCTGGGTGGGAGGCATGTGCACCGTCTGGTCTCAGAAGACAGAGCTGGGACCCTCAGAGTGGTGGGGGCTGGGTGGCAAGGGAGTGAGCGCAGGGAGGGCAGACAGGCTCTCCCAGGTGGAGATGGCCGTGGGGGAGGGTGCGGTGTGAGTCAGCGCCTGGGACCTGGGACCTGGAACTGGGGAAATGGTGAGTCAGCTGTGCTGGGTGGCTGGAGTGGAAGGTTCTGGGAGGAAAGAAGAGGGAGCTGGGGCTGGAAGGTGAGGTTGGAGCTGGGCTTTTGGGAGATAGACTCGGCAGTTGTGTGCCAGGTGGCTGAGGATTGACTGCAGTAGTCTAGAAAGAGGGGTGGGTTTAGGAAGGAGGGGTCTGCGAGGAGAATGTTTGGGGAGTGGAGTCAGGCTGGGCCGAGGGTGGGGAGAGGAAGACAGTGACCAAGAGAGCAAAGGGAAGCCTGTTTCCTGAGCTGGGAGCTCCAAGGAGGGATGCCCTCTGTGTGGGCCTGGTGACTGCAGGGTCCCCCAAGAGGGGACACTGGGCAGAGGGTGGGAGGCACAGCTCCACTTGGTTCCCACAGGAGAACAGCACCTTCAATGCCCTCCCGGTCCTGGTTGCCATGCAGATGGCCAACACGGTCACAGGTGAGGCCCGGCCAGGGGCCAGACCAGCTTCCTAGGCGCCACCCCTACCGAGGGTGCTTGTGGGGGAGAGGTTGGGTGGGGGGCAGGAGAAGCCATCCTTCTTGGGTGGGCCCCGGAAGAGAGTAGGTCCCCTCTGTGTGTCCCAGATGTTCTTCCTGCCTGGGCCCTGCCATCTTGCCCCTGGGTCCCTGTGTGCCCTCCTGATCCCACAAGTCCCTGCTGCTTTGGGCAGAGCTGAAGAAGGAAGTGGCCCAGCAGCCCGAAGGGGTGAGGACACTGGCTGAACGGTTCCCGGGCTCGGTGGCAGCTTCCCGCTGGAGCCAGGCGCTTGAGGAGCTGGAAGAGAGCAGCCGCCCCTACCTGCAGGAGGTGCAGAGATATGAGACATACAGGTGCCCGAGATCCCGGGCTGGGGGTGAGATGGGCAGCACAGCCTCTCCTCTGCCCTGAGCGCATTCATAGCCCCCATCAACTCCCGGCTGTACTGAGCCTCTGCCTTATTTAAGCCAAGACCCCTGGCTCCTCAGGCCTCCATGCCCCAGCCTGGCTGTTTGCCTGGGGGACCTGAGCCTGGGGACCCCATAGGAGCACTGGAACCATCTACTGCCTCAGGAAGCATCCACTCCTGCAATTCTAAAACCTCAGCCTTGGGGTTAGAGGCCCCCCAGCCACTAAGTCCATCCGGTGCCAGCTGCCTCCCTCCTCAGTGACCCCCGCACCCTCTCTGCGGCAGGTGGATCATGGGCTGCGTGCTGTGCTCCATAGTCCTGCTGGTAGCAGTCTGTAACCTGCTGGGCCTCCACCTTGGCATCTGGGGGCTGTCTACCAGGGAGGACCCCGGCCACTCGGAAGCCAAGGGCGAGGCTGGAGCTCACTTCCTCATGGCGTAAGCAAGGGCTGGGGAGAGGGGAGGGTCTCTTCCCACTGGCTGGCCAGATTCCTGCCGCACCCCAGTCCTGGGGTGGCTACAGGAGCCGAGGCCTAGGCTGAGCTTTAATGCTGCCTCTGGTGCTGACATACTGGGTGACCCATCTGGGCTTCGGTGTCCTCATCTGTAGGACAATCCCCTCTCTCAATCCAAAGGGGTTGGACTGGAGCAGGAATGGCAGATAAGCAGCACTTCCCCCTCCCCCCCAGTGGCAACTGTAGCACTCAGTGGGCACCTTTTCCCCTGAGTCCAGACACAGCTTCGGGATTCTTCTTAACCCGGCTCCCAGGCCGCCACCCCCACCAATAGGAGGCAGGACCAGAGGTAGAATCTCTTTGCCATCCTAGGCTAGATAGTCTTTAAGACCAGGGCTGCCACGTACAGTTGTGCAGGCTGTTCACTACACAAGGGTACCTGGCCAAAGGGGTGAGTAGGGGCTGAAATCCACCCCATGTTTCATTCTCCAAGCTTCACAGCCTGGCGTGGGGCTGTGGCCACCTCACAAAGAAGCCCTGCAAGTCAGTGGCACCATGGACTTCAGTGGTCTAAGGAGCTTTATCACTCAGACCCACCTGGGTGCTGCCCCTGCTGGTGGGTCATGCCTGCCCATGCCAGGTGACCCTTGTGAGGGCTGGGTTCTATAGCAGGTCACTTCCATGGGCCCCAGGCCCAGAAGTGAGCAGTCCTTCCTCTTCAAACAATACAGCTGTCCTCTCTTCTAGGCTGTCAGAGCCCCCTAGGGCACCAGCGACAAGGTGGGATACGGCAGGGATGAGGGGACAGTCCAGACTTCTGCATTGTCCCTCTTGCCTCTGAGCTCCTCTTCCCTAAAGGCTCTGCCTGAGCCACCTGGCTGACCATGTGGGCCTGGGACACGGGTGGGGCAGAGGTTGTGGTCCAGGGCAGCCGGTCACCGCTCTCCCTCCGCCCGTCTCTCTCTCCTCCAGAGGTGTGAGCTTCAGCTTCATCTTCGCTGCCCCACTCATCCTGCTCATCTTCACCACCTTCTTGGTGGGTGGCAACATGCAGACGCTGGTGTGCCGGAGCTGGCAGAGCGGAGAACTCTATGAGGTGGGCCTGTCCCCACTCCAGGGACGTGTGGGCAGAGCAAAAGGGTTGTAAGGACGTGTGAGCCAGAGGGGGCTGGGGAGGGTAGGAACAGAAAACCACCACTGGATGGGGGCAGAGAGAGAGAGTGTGTCCATGAGTCCCTGGGATGCTGCCCAGGCCCCAGGGCGGGGACCCTGAGGATTACACCCAGACCCGAGGCCCTCTCCTCTCCTGACACTGAGTCTGGGAGCCGGAACCCTGGTGCCAGGTGTGCTTCCAGCAGGTGAGCGGAGCCGCTGGCCTGGGTACTCTGCCAACCACCCCTCCTGGAGACCCACAGGAGAGTCCTTGTAAGGAGTTAGGGCTCAGGGGTAACTGGAGTTATAGGTCAGGTTTGGGCTGGAGTCATGGGGTGTTTCCCACCCCTGGTCTCTGCTGTGCCAGCGTGGCATGGGGTAGGGCCCGGTGGGACCTGCGAGGCCTTGCACCTGCCCTGCTCTGTGCCCCATTTCTTTCTGCCCATCCCCAGTTTGCAGATACCCCAGGGAACTTGCCCCCGTCTATGAACCTGTCCCACCTTCTTGGTCTGAAGAAAAACATCAGCATCCACCTGGCCTATCAGTGAGTGGGTAGTCTGGGCTGGGACTGGGGAGTGAGGAGGGGTGGCAGAGGTGGTGTCCCTGTCGTTAGGGTGACGCCAGCCCCCACCTGCCATCCCTCGTCGCCCATCCTCAATGCCCATCGTGCCTCCCCAGGCAGTGCAAGGAAGGGGCTGTGCTCTGGAGAGTCCTGCAGCTCAATGACTCCTACAACCTGGAGCAGCACCTGGATATCAGCCAGGTAAGAGAATCTTCTAGAAGGCAGTGAGGAGCCCTCCTGCACACTCCTCTCCTCTGGTCTTGCCTCTGCAGAGGCACCATCTCTTTGAACCCGAGAAGTCTCCTTGAGCAATTGAGGTGCCTCAGGGCAGAGGCCCAGCTACTAGCCCAGGGGAAGGTGCCAGGTGTGGGCGTGGGTGCGTGAGTACCTGGAGGCTGTGGCCAGCTCTGAGCACAGCTGATGTGATGGCAGGACAGGATGGTGGCAGTGAGCAAGTAGACTCAGGAGTGGTTGTATTCTGAGGACAGGCATTGGTTGGGATACTCCAGTCGGGAAGAGGAGGCTGGGGAGGGGGCAGCAATGGAAGGTCGTGATGAGGCTGGGTGACCCTGCTGGAGGGGCCACCACAGGCTTTTTGCGCAGCTCACACAGCGGTAGGTGGCAGAATTCTACCCCAAGCCCCACTCCTGAGCCTCTTCTTGTAACCACTGGGTTTTCCTGGAACTTCGTGTGTAGAATGGGAGACACTTGCTGATGCTGGCAAGAGACAGTTCTAGAACATAGGAAAGGAAGGGCTACTTCACAACAGGGCCATACTTTGAGAATGTGGTTCTCCTAGAGGTGTACGGAAGCCATAAAACATTCCTTCCTTTCCTCTCCCCATGCAGAAGGGAGGTGGGAGGAGCGGCGCCTTGATTTCCAGGGCCCCCGGGAGCCATTGCTAAGCACATCCGGGGGAAACCCACTACACACACTCCCTGCCTGCTCCTGATTCTGCACTGTCCTGAAAACCCCTCCAACTCCTCTGGGATCCACCACCCAGTCTCAGCCCACAAGGTGGCACAGGCAAGTGGGCCAGTCCCAATCCCATGCCTTAAAGTGTGTACCCAGGGGCAGCTGGCTTAATGCCTCAGCTCACGCCTCCTTCAGTGTCTTCAACCAGACGGGAAGCCCATGGAGCTGGCGCTATCTCAGTGCTAGGCCAGAGACACCACCCTGGATGAAGTTGGCTGGGGAGGGCTGCAGCAGGGCCCAGGCAGAGCAGCCCCCATGTCCCACTGGCTGGAAGTCCCAGCTCTTAGGTGGAGGGCTCTCTGTCCTGGTCCTGGGAGGGGCTCAGATGGACTGGGCAGTCCTCAGGGCTATCTGGCAACATACCAAATGTGACCTTAAGGATCTTTGTCCTCATTCCTAGGAACTCCTTGGAATGTGTTGTTTTTAAAAAAGAGGAACCAAAAAAAAAAAAAAAAAAGAATCTTCATTCTCAAAGGAGACAGTAATGAGCTGATTATGTGAAGACAGGTGTGGTTTCCAGGGCACCACGAGGGCACTGCCACCTTCCCACATCCTCCATACCTGTCACTAATGCCTGAAATGCTGCTCTGAGACCCCACCCCCAAGAGGGTTAGGCCCTTCTGCCCCTGGCGAAGGCAGCCTGGCTGGAAGGGGAGAGGTGAACAGAGCAGGGCCCTGGTCTCTACTTGCGGTCTAACCTCAGGCAAGTGGACACTCCTCTGTGACCTCAGTTTCTCAGCTATGAAACACTAGGGCTGAATTTTATGGCCCCCAAATCTCTTCCAGCAATGGTAGGAAAATGCCAAGGGTCTTTCCTTGCATTCGTTCATGCATTCATTCACAAGCTGACTGTATGCCTCCCACACCACATGTGCCTCTGCTCTACATGCTGGGGGCTTCGGGCGGAGTAGGCAGGCAAGCTCTGCTCTCATGGCGCTATGGCCATGAACAAGTACCCAAAAAGATAAGGCAATGCCGGAGCAGCAGGTGCTCTGAGGGTCTTGACGCAGATAATGCAATAAACAGGGTCCGGGAAAGCTGTTCTGTGTCAGGTGACCAGGGAAGGTGTGTGTAGCAGCCCAGGAGCCAGATAGCTGCTGGAGGAAGGCTGGGTCTTAGCGGTTTGGGGTGGGGGAAGACGGGCCTCCTGGGAGCCTATCTGGGGCTGGGGCTGTGTCCAGGGTAGAGGCTGGAGATCCAGGAGGAGGGCCCTGCCAGCCCGGTGACCCCTCCCTAGGGGAGCATCTCTGGCAACATGGCTCAGCACTGGGCTGACCCCCACCCCTACCCTCCCAGTACACTCACAAGCTGCAACAAAAGCTGGGGAGCCTCAAAATGGACATGCAGAACGTGGACCTGCTGAGCCCAGTCGCCCACCAGGACCTGAAGGCCCTGCAGAGCAGTGGGCTGGAGCGTGTCCGCTACTCCGACTTCCTCGCTCAGGTCAGCAGTGGGCACCTCAGGCACCCCAGACAGATGGCAACGGAACAGAGGGCCCACAGAGGGGCTGGGCAGGCGCCACGCCTTGTCCCAGCTCTTGACCTTCCTTCAACTCCTCCATATGTGTCCTGGGGCCCATCCTAGTACCGCCACCCCAGGCCACGCGGGAATGGATGCCCTTTCTCTTGCCCCAACGGCATGTGTCGCTGTTCATGGTCCTGAACCCACTGTTGTGAACGCTGGTGGGAAGTCGCCTCTTGCTTGAGTTACAGCCGAGAGCACCTCATTTGTTGTCAGTTCTATGTCACTGGGAAAATGTCTGAAATGCTTCACAGTTCCAGGTCAAACCCACTGTGACTGGTGTGTCACAATAGACTTCATTGGTGTGGGTTACCTTTGACAAGACTGGGAATCCAGAAGCTGCAGGCAGGTAGCAGGGGCACTGGGGGTGTGGGGTCAGCTCTCTTGTCCTATCCTGTCCACCCGCAGATCCAGAAGCCAGTGGTGAAGACCGACCTGGAGCAGCTGGCTCAGCAATTGGACGGGCTGGTCCATGCCCAAGTGAGGAGGGAGAGAAACCCCCTGGGCAGTGGGAGTCAGAGGGACACTCGGGAGGCAGGACAGTGTGGCAGCGCTTGGATTGGGAAGGAGGTCAGAGCAAAGGCAGGGGCTTGAGGACCCCACCAGTGAAGCCTGAGGCTCCTAACCTCCTCACTGGGCCTGAGGGTTGTGCAGCATTAGTTCTGACTCGAGCTTGGCCACCAGCTATCTGTGTGGCCTTGGGCAAGTCTCTTCACGTGCAAAGTGGACTATCTGTGTCAATCAGATGAATAACTGGTCTGACCTCATACAGTTGGGCAAAGGTTTCTAAGTGCACGCTGCCGGCAGAATTTGCTGGAACAAGTGCTGTGAAGACATTGCAGTCAATCAGATTTCATGACAGTTGCCCTTCAGGGGAAACAAATAACACTTTGTATTTACAAATATTTAGAATTTCAGAAGTTCTTTTTGAGACATCTCAGATCCACAACCCCATATGGTGGGTAGAGCAAGGAACATTCCTCCACTTCAGCAGATGCCACTGCAGCTCAGACAGGTTTTGCAGCTGACTTAGGGGCACCCAGAAAGCCAGGGCAGACCTAGAACTTGGGCTGGGGCCCCTCAAACCCAGGGCAGGCCATGGAGCTTAAGGAGCCTCGGTTTTCTGCATCAGCCCAGCTTGCTACCTCCTCCCAGTGAGTCACGTTGAAAGGCTGGGTGAAGGTACGCTGCCCAGCCTGTCGTGTCCTGGGCACGGGCCTTCTGATCTCTGTCTTTCCCCAGCGCAATCATACACTGCAGCAGCAGCTGCAAGAGGAGGCCCAGAGGCTCAGAAACCTCCACCAGGAGAAGGTCGTCCCCCAGCAGAGCCTCGTGGTAAGTTGAGAAGTGCAGGGGGACTGGGGTCTGCGAGCAGGGTGGGTGGGGAGAGGACAATCAAAGAAGATTGGGGTGCTGGGAACCACGCCCCACCCCACCCCTTCCCCTAACCATCCCTGGTCTCTTCACAGGCGAAGCTCAACCTCAGTGTCAGGGCCCTGGAGTCCTCTGCCCCAGCTCTCCAGGTGGCTGCTGGGGGTGAAGTGGGTGGGCCCAGAGGGAGGGAGGAGTGCCTGGGACCTTGCCAGCTCTGCCAGGTCCCAGTGGAGTTTGAGGGTGGGGATGGGTGGGCAGAGCCTTGAGGACCACCACCTTTGGTCTACCCCTCTCCCCCACTAAGGTGAGTGTGTTGTGTGTTCTACGCTGAATTAATGAATGGATGAATGCATGAGTGGCCACTCCCCAACCCCGCAGGGCCTTGAGTTGAGACTCTCCTCCCCTGCAGCTGGAGACCTCAGACATCCTAGGCAATGTCACTTACCTACAAAGAGAGCTGCCTGCCTGGGCCACCCAGATCCTGAGGAATGTGAGTGGGGGACAGGGCAGGGCCAGGGGGCTTCCACCCCAGGCTTCTTCTCAGCCCCATCCCCTCACTGTGGCTCCTTGGGAAGCTTGGCCTGTCCTTGTGTTGCCAAGAATGGTGAGGGGCGGGGGCCTGCTGGTTCGTGGTACCCCTGCAGCCCAGGATCCCCTCTTTCCTGCAGGTGAGTGAGTGTTTCCTGACCCGGGAGATGGGTTACTTCTCCCAGTACGTGGCCTGGGTGAGAGAGGAGGTGAGTGGGGCCTCAGAGCATGACCCATCACTGCCCCAGGGACCAGCTGTTCACTCCTACCTGCCCACAGAATCCTCTGGGGGTGCCCCAGGCCTTCAGGATTGAACCCAAACTCCCAAACCTGGTGTCTGTACCCTGCTTGTTGGCAGGGCTCTGCCGCAGCCGTTCCCTAGGCCTGAGTCCGAGCCAGGCTGGTGTGGCTCTCCAGAACATGCTGCCACACCTGGCCTTCATGCCTGCCTGGGGCCAGCCCCTTCCCAGCTTGTCCATGGCCAGCCCACAAAGCCCACCTCCCCCTGAGGACCCTTGCTCACCACAGCCTGTGCCAGCTGTCTGGACCCCACGCTGGGATGGCAGGGATCTGGCTTAACCCCGAATGTGTCTGTGAGTGTATGTGTATGTGTGTGCATGTGTATGCATATGAACACGTGAGGACATGCATGTGCGTGCACACGTGTCACCTCCCTGGTGACAGTGTGACTTAAACCACAGCACTGAGCACACAGTAGGGCCTTATTCCAGGCTGGCAAATATATGAAAAGGGAAGGCATTGAGCAAGAAGCCTACATGAGTGTCCCCAACTCTGTGTGACCTGCATCCATGTGTGTATACGTACCTGCCTCTCTGTGTCTATGTACAAGTGTGTGGTGGCCCCAGCTGGGCCCTGGGCCTATATGTGTCCCTATCAACCTCTCTCTCTGAACACGGGGCGTACACCTGTGGGTCTGGGTGTTTCCACATACACCTCTGCATGTTGGACCACAGGTCACCCAGCGCATTGCCACCTGCCAGCCCCTCTCTGGAGCCCTGGACAATGGCCGTGTGATCCTGTGTGACATGATAGTGGACCCCTGGGTGAGTGTCCCCTGCTCGTCAAGGCTTGTAGACATTGGGTCCCATGGAAGGGCCCTGCTGACACAGCCCCCACCCAGGCCTGTGCTCAGCCCTTCCCATTGACTGGGAGTGAGCTGGCTTCTCGCCCCTTCCAGAATGCCTTCTGGTTCTGCCTGGCGTGGTGCACCTTCTTCCTGATCCCCAGCATCATCTTTGCTGTCAAGACCGCCAAATACTTTCGTCCTATCTGGAAACGCCTCAGGTGAGGGGCTGCCAGGACTACAGGGCACATCAGAGGCCGAGAAAGGCGTCCTCCCTGCTGCTGGGCCCTGGCCCCATGTCACACACACCACCTCCTGTGTCCTCCCAGGCAGAGGAGGCTCATGCCCTAGTCCTGGAGAGCCACACACTCTGAGGAGCTCCAAGGCTGGAAGTTCTCCCATATGTCTGCTCCATATCCTGCTTGCTGCAATACATCCACCCAAGCTCAGCTTCTTGGGACTCTTCCCATCCCCTGGAGGGCTTCTGAGGAAAGAGCATCAGGGCTCCGGGCTTGTCCCTGTGTCGGGGCTGAGGGTCTGTGTGGGGCTCACTCTCTTTCTACAACGCTGCAGCTCCACCAGCTCTGAGGAGACTCAGCTCTTCCACATCCCCCGGGTCACCTCCCTGCAGCTGTAGGACCCAGTGGGTGAGTTTCCCCACACCCCTGTAACTCCTGAGTGCCGGGGGCTGAAGAGGTGAGGAAGGGAGGGGCTGGGATCTGGGGTCTCCAGGGCCTAGGAGGGCAAGAAGGTTTGGGGACTTGGCGGGGTCTGGGTATTGAGTGTGGCCCATCCAGCAGCAGCACTGACAGCTCTGCTCTCCTTCCCTCCTCCTTACCTGTTTCCTTCTTAATCCATAACAGAGCCAGGTGATCCTTGCGGCTGCCTGTCCCCCTCCAACTCGGGGGCACCAGAGGACTTCTGCAGCGCTTGCCCCAGAGCCCAGGCATCCAGGCCTGGACCATCCCCGACTCCAGCTTACCTGGCCCCATCTTGCCTGTTCCTTTCCTGCCCCCTTTCTGCTCATGACCCTCCTTCCTTCATTCTCAAAATCTCACTTGACTTCTGCTGAGCTACAGAGCTGACAGCTTCTTCCAAGTGTCCATCCCTTACCCTCCTTGCTGAGATATGTCATCGCCAGAAAGAGCCTGTCCTTCACCTATCGAACCCCCTCACCCCCATTGCCCCCCTCCCCACCCCATGCCTCCCCTTGCCCCTCTCTAGCTCCTGCACCTGTCCCTCATCTGGCCTCCCCACTGCCTCGACTGCCCTCCCGTGCCCTCCCCAGCCCTTGCTTCTGATTTCCAGGGAAGTCCTTTCCCCACTCTGTCCCCACTTCGCCTTATCCCCACTACTACCTGCTGGTCCCAGGGATCCCTCCTGCCTAGCCAAACTAATAAGGTGAAGCCACCAAGCAGGCAGGGGCCACCATGGTCAGGTCTGGCCTGTCTACGGGCTGCGTCTCATGGCCAGCCAAGCCCTTTACTGCCCCAGGGCCTAGGACCTTCTGCAGGGCTCAGCCTGGATTTATTGGCCCCCAGTGGGGTGAGGGAGGCTTGTCTGAAGGCTAAGCTTCCCTGCCTGCACTCCAGGTTAGAAATGGTAGTACTGGCACTTAGCTTCTCTCTGAGCACTGGCCCCAAGTAAGGGACCTGGGACCTGAGCCAGAGTGAGGGTTTATGCTTGTCTCCCCAGATGGTAGCATCTTCCCTGGCCAACACCCAGCTTTCCCAGGAGGGATCTGGTGGCCAGAACAAGATTTTATACTATTCCTTCTATCCTGTGCATGTGGCCTGGGGTCAACCCTAGCCCATCCCTGGGTCATCCCTGCATGCTGGACCCTGAGTTCCAGCAGTGAGGAAGAGGAATAGGAAGAGAAGAGGAGATGGATAGATGTCAGATGCATTAAAGTATTCTCACCTACCTAAGCCTTGGTTTGGGGTCTTTAAAACCAGGTCTCTCAGACTGGGTAGCTGTACACAGTTGATGTTTAATGAGTATTTATGGAGAGGAGAATTCCAAGGCCTCCTCTGACTAAGCAGGGGTCCTCAAACTTTTTAAACAGGGGGCCAGTTCACTGTCCCTCAGACCGTTGGAGGGACATTGGAGAGTGCGGGCCACATTCCACACATGTGCACTGTGGGCTGGGGACCAGTCGGCTGCTAAGCAGAACAGGCAGTGGCGGCAAAAACACCTGGCAGGCCGGATAAATGTCCTCGGTGGGCCGCATATGGCCCACGGGCCATAGTTTGAGGACACCTGGACTATAGGCATCCAGGGAGTATTCCAGCAATCAGCAGAGGGGGAGTGGGGCCTAGGCTAGAAGCACACTGTCAGGAGCAGGCAGGTCTGGATTCACAGCCTGGCTCTGATGCTTGTTAGCTAGGGCATCTTGAACATGTTACATAGGTCCCCTAAACCATTTATAAGATGGGAGAATAGTCACAGCCTCCTCACAGGGTTGTGAAAATTAAACATGATAATACATGGAAAGCCATTGGCAGGAGCCTGGCACAAAACAAATACTCAGTGCCTGGGAGCTGGCTTTTTTTTGTATTTTTATTTTTTTCACCCTCATCATGACTGCTTTGGGCCAGGGCAGAGATAGGGTTTGGGAAGATACCAGGAAAGATGGAGACAGGTCCCTGTTCAAAGGCAAAAAGCCATTCAAGGTTGTGGTCTGCTGGATTTCAGGGAGTGTCTATGTTTAATTGCATCTTATAAACCAACAACAAATTTTCTACTAGAAATTAGGATGGTGCATACATAATGTATTGTCACTACTACAAGTACATTCTCAAATAAGCATCCTGGCGTGGGGCACAACTGCCTCTTTTTGGCCTTTCCCAGAGGTTTTTCGCTTGTTACTCATCTGTTGACCTGTGTGGGGGAAGTAGCACTCTGTATTTTAAAAAATGCAATTGATGAGATTAAAAGAAATGAAATAGGAACAATTAAAAAATCATTTCCAGTTCTCTATCGAAATTATCTACCTTTTATATATTTGAGCATATTAAATATAATTATTTTAAAGTTCAATTACTCCCTTATATGGAGCCTCCATGAGTCTGTTTCTAGTGTCTCTTGTTTCTCTTGATTTTTGTTAGTTTTGTCTTGTCTCCTCACATAGTTGGTGATTTTCGATTGAGTACTGCACATTGTATCTAAAAACCTATAGTTTAGGCCTAGGATGAAGTTATCCTCCTCCATGAGGATTATGTTTATATGTGGCAAATGACTTGGGATCTAGCATACTAGGATTACTTCAATCCACTTGCAGGGAATGAGAAGATTTGCAATCACTTGGAGAGCTGATCTACTTACAATTCATTCATATTCATAGGGTAAAGCCCTCTGGGGTCCCAACCCAAAGCATGAAAGATTTGCCAGGCATGCCTTCCTCTTGAGTGGGCTCTGCTCAGCATCTTTGCAGTGCCTTCTGGAACCAGCAGACCCCCTATTGAGAAAGTGGCCCTAGATGCCAGGCATATATCTTTGGATTTCTTTCTTTTCCCAGACATTGGTCCTGTGATTCTTCACTGCCTTGTTTGCTCCCTGACACCCTCAGTCAGACTTAAATATATATATACATATCTATGTATCAAATATATGTATAACTTTAAAAGTGGGACACAGATTTTGAAAAGATTTTAAGTAGTCCTCAGCTGGAAATTTGGTCCAAATTACCTAATCCATTGATATCAGAAGTTGTGGTCCTAAACAATTGACTTTGATGTTCCCCCTGTAAATTAAGACAAGGCTGCCACTATTTGAATTTATTGTCCAGAAACCTTCATCCAGCCCATTGAACACTTGCTTTTGCAAAGGAGCTTTGTTTAGAGAGCATTACCATAGACACTGGTCACCTAGGGATGGGGTGGCACTTGGTAGTTGACAGAGATAGAAACAGCCACAGAGAAAAATAGATTGCCAATTTTCCTGGTGTTTAAAATGCTAGGATCCTAAAGTGCTGATGCTACTTTATATGTGAACTGAGGCCCCTTCAAGGCCGCAATCTCATCTGTCATCACAACAGTCTCTGAAGGGGGCAAGTCATCTTGGGGGAGTAGAGGAGGCTCCAGGAAGTTACACGGCTGGTTCAAGGTCTCTTAAGTTGAAGCCCAGCCAGGCCTTGGTTTCATGTCCTCTAGTCCTGGTGACCCTGGCGGTTTCTTTCTGGATGTGCTGCCAGTCCCCGTTCCCTGTGGGCATGTGGGAAGGAGGCCCTGTCTCCAAGGAGATTTGAACCAAATGTCCTTGTGTCCCTGTGGCAGGAGGGATGACAGATTGGGGGCCCTGGGAGTTCTGCCAGACACTCCAGCCTGGCCACCCAGCAAAAGGCCCCATGGCAGATTCTGCCAAAGGAATGCCAGATGGGCCCGGGTGTCTGAGGTCCCAGGTGGCTGGTCAGGGCAGCTCCAGCTGGCTCGAGGTGTGCAAAGGGAGGGCCACGTGTCTGGGGCAAGAGCCTGCCCAGGCTACCTAAAGGGACAAACATGGGAGTTAACATTTATTTACTGAGCTCTGAGCATAAACCAGGAAGTGTGCTCAGCACTTTACATGAATTAACTAAGAGGCAGGCATTGTTATTTACCTATTTGATGGTTGATAAAACTAAGGCAGAAAGAATGTGTGTGGGCTGATGAAAAAGGGTGACACTTATACAAAGAACCAACTGATAATAGTGGAATTCAGGCCATATCCTGAATTCTCTAGAATCAGCCTGGGGTCCTGCTCTGGGCCGCTGTGGACAATGTGCCTCTTCCCCACCCCATACCCCAGAGCCAGGGACCTCCTAGTGCCCTGTCTGTTCAAGCCTGAATGCCAGAGGCTGAGCCAGGAGGCCGGTGGCCAACCTAGTCCACAAACCACGTGCTTCTGGAATGAAGCCCCTTCTTGGTGGTGCCCTACTGTTCCTTATGCATGCTGGGTGCGCCACTCCTGGAGCAGGTCACATGTATCCACCTAAGAAATGTTGCCCGAGTACCGCGGCACCAGGGGAGAAGGGAGGCAGCGTGTGTGTAGGGTGAGATGACCCACCCCAGCCCCAGAGCTCTGTCCATGAGTGATGCAGAATGGAGGAAGAGGTGGCCTGAACCTTCAGCCACCCTGAGAGTACCAGGGAGTCAGATGCTGGGTTCAGAGGAAGGGGATTTGGGGAAGGTAAGTTGAGCCCAAGCAGTGTGGTGAGGTGCCCTCCCCTCACTTCTAGCCAGAGGAATGGGCTTTAGAGAAAGCCCCCAGAGAGCTTCAGGGTGTCTCCTGCAGTTAGAGAAATCCAGTGGACGTATGCCTCACCTCCTGTGAAGTTTACAGGGGAAGAGACAGGCTGGCTGCCTTGATGGCAGAGCTAAGGAGAGGACCTACTGTCAGATCATGGAGTCTCCCAGGCCCAGTCCCAAGAGGCCACCTGGAGAGTGTACCCACCTCAGCCAAGAGAAGGCAGAGCTGCCACTAGGTGTCAAGGGCTCCTTGGTCTCCTGAGGCCCACGTGAAATACCCTAGTCAAGGGTACTGTGGGGAGGTTCCCAGCAATGGAACCCGAACTCTGAGGGCCCTTGGCGGTGGCCACAAGAGAAAGAGGGATAGCTTTAACCTCTGCCACACTCAGAGTTCAGCTGGAGGCTGATCACATGCGCTGCCCGGCCCAGGCCCAGGCCCCCACCCCACCAGGCCTGAGCTGGGCCAGGGGTGGTCTTGACTTCAGAGTGGGAGTGTTGACAATGACACTGGGACTGAGGAGAAGATACAGGGCAGGAGGCTCCACAGAGCCGGGGCCTGGGGAGGAGGGGTTTGAACTTGGGCCTGGAGTAGAGGGATCATGAACAGCAATTGAGGAAAGTCCAGAGGACCCCAAGAGTTGTGGGTGGGGGCAGCCTGAGCCCTCCCCTGGATAGGCTGAGAGTAAGGGCCCCTACTTGGCCAAAACAGCTCCCACTGCCTCCTCAGACATTGTGATGCAAGGAAACTCAACCACATCCAGGCTTAGAGTCATCCCTTCCTTTTCCACTCCAAAACACCCCACCCCCGAGGTGAGGAACGCCACAGTAGAGTGTCCCTAGCTGATAAGACAGTGTCCTCCCTCAGCCTTCCTTAGCCTTTCATGGTCCGATGGACGGCCAAAGGGTCTTGGGAAACGCCAAGACTCTCTGGGATAAAGTCTGTGGATGCCCACATCAGGGAAGCCACGGGCAGCGTCCTGGCCTCCCGTCCCCTGTCCTTTCTCATGCGGCGTCCCCCACACCCCCTGGAGGGACCCAGCTGGAGGGACCTGAGGGTGCCCAGGGAGGCAGGGGTGTGGCATGGCACAAGAATCATGGCAGGGCACACGTGGTGTGTTTAGGAGGGGCACCCAGCTGGGTGGCAGCTGCAGTGGGAGGCTCCCAAGGCCCGAGCGCCTGGTGGGCCCAGCAGGCAGGGCAGTTGTCCAAGGCCTGCTTTGTCGAAGCCTGTTAACTCCGGAGAAAACATCTCTGAGTAATGGAATGTCCTCAGAGTGTGCCAAGCAGGGGGTGGGTGGCTCTCCAGAGAGTGGCACTGGTTTAGGGGTGGCTTCTCTGGTCCTGCCTTTCAGGCCTTGCCACAAGGAAGACCAGGCTCGTCCCGGGCAGTGTGATCGGCAGGTTTCCAAGCTGACGTATGCAACCTGGGCACATAACCTATCAGGTGCGGTCTTAGCCACAGTTCTCACCGCGGGATGAAAGCAACAGGCTTTATCACTTTCCAGCCTATGACCTGGGTAAATCCTTTATCTTTCCTGGATCACAGTGCTATCATCTGTAGAGTGAGACAATGGCACTTTCCTCCCAAGGCCACTGTGATGACTCAACACACTTGGATCCTGGTGCAGAGCCAGAGGAGCAGGGCTGTCCTGGGTGGCGAAAGGCCCAGGGGCTCCTAGGGAGCTCAGCCCTGAGCTGACAGCCACCGGGGGGCTTGCCCTCCCTCCCTACCTGGGTGCGGCCCTGGGCTGCGAGTCCAGGCTCTGCTGAGCCCCTTGCCCAGAGGGAAGCCCAGCCTGTCCTGAAGTCCTTCAGAGACAGAGACGGGGCTGCTGCCTCCCCTCTGGAAAGGTCCTTCTTGCCTCAGTGGGGCAGCTCTGGGCTCTTTCCTTCCCCCAGGATCTGAAAGTTGAAGCTAATTGGATGGCAGGGAAGGGCATGTGAGTGCTGGGTGCGTGCTGCAAAGGAGGGGAAGAGGGGGTGGCTCCGGGCTCCGTTTCCATGGGAACCACTGGCACAGGCTGGCTCCTCAGGGCGCCAAAAAGGGAAACTTGGCAAAGGTTTCAGCACCTGGCTCCTGGGTGGTTTCCCTAGGGGCTGAGCAAATGCCCAGGAGCCTGCAGGAGCCCCTCTCTCCCAGAGAGGCCAGGGGCCCTCATCCCCTTCCTCCACCTCTCACCTCCTTGGAGATCCTGTGAGGTCCCTCAGCCCCCCTGAACACTGTCCCAACCTTGGACACTTGGGGAGTATAAGCAGCTTATGCTCTGGGGAAGACTCTCATACTGCAAAGCCTTGTGAGGTGTCAAAGGGAGATAATGGGGTGGGGGATGGATGAAAGAGGCAGGAGGACCCCTGAGTGTCACCCTGCTGCTGCTGCCCCGGTGGTGGCTGTCACTCTCTCTGGGGGGCGAGCCCCCATCTGCAAGGCCCTTGCAGACCAGCACCTCCACTGAGGTCCCTGAGGAGAGGATGCTTCAGACGCAGGAGCTGGCACCTCTATGGCAGTGGGGCAGTGGCTCTGGCTGTCCTGGGGCCCCAAAGGATGAGCTCACCACAAGAGTCCCACCACCACCTGTGAGGAGTGGGCAGGACAGGGGAGAAGCTGGCTTGTTCTAGAAAATGTCTGGGGAGGCTCTCTGGGCTCCTTGGCTGCCCCTCCTCCCGCCTTGGGGCAAGAGCTCCCCTCCCCCCAGTCCCCTCCCTCCCCCACCCCGCCCTCACCTTTCTCTGAGCCCAAGAAGAGTGGGGAGCAGAAAGAGAGTGTTAGAAGAAGAGACAGACTCCCGCAGCCACCGGTGACAGAGGTAGGGGAGAGGCCAGGATTAGGGACCATGTACAGAGTGAGGGAGACACAGAGAGAGAGAAAGACAGAGAGAGAGGAGGCAGGGGGTGGAGCGGTAGAAGCCGGCAGGCAGGCAGGGAGGGAGGGAGGGGTGGGCAGGGGGCGGGCGAGAAGCCGCGGTGACAATTACGTGTGGGTCCAAGCAAACATGAGGCAGCTGCCAGCCGGCTGGGGCAGAGTCCCGTCTGCCGGGGCTGCAAGGTGGCGAGGCCGGCAACAGTTTCCTTCCTCCCGTGCCCAGCATGCAGCAGGCTAAGGTAGGCGCGGGTGGCTGTGGCGGGCTGGCCCCAGGGCGGGGAGCGGGGGCTTCTGGAACTCCTCTGCACCCGGAGCCCAGCCCGGTCGTGCCTCCTTCTTTCACTTCCACTCCTTTTTGCATCCCCGGTTGGCCCCTACAAGGTCGCTTTTGGGCAAGTGAGTGTTGGGGTGTCCTAGCTGGGAGGCTCGAGTCCTGGGGCCCCTTTTGGAAGGGAGAGGCTTTAGAGTTTGTGGAAGAGGAGCTGGACAGAGGAGGAGCATGCGACAGGGCCTGTTGAAAAGGTGCTTTCCTTTCTGTCTCCTCTCAGGTCAGCCCACGGCTACTCCTGCTCAGTTAGGTCACTAGGGCAGGTGTCAGGACAGCGACCCTGAGCCTGGCTCCACAGCACTTAGGGCTGGGGGAGGGGTCCCTACTAGGAGGGGGTCGCTTATGCTTGGAGGCCAGTCAGTGAATGCGTCTTTTAATTAATCATTCAGGCAATGAATGAGTGCTTTTTTCTAAAAGTGCTATGAGACCCCTAATGGGGACACTTGCTAATAGTTCTCTTTCAGTGGGGCTGGGGGGAGGTTGGAGAAACAGAATACAAGGAAAATGCCTGGCAAAGTGTTCAAGAAATAATGGCAGGGCAGGGGAAGGATGAAGAAGAATTAAATGAGGAAGAAAGGAAAATAAACTGGCTCTCCCCAGCCCCCAGCAGACAGTTAACCCTCAGAAAGTCTGGCCTGATGCCCTGTGCTCACATGCTGGGGACAGTCTTGCTTTGGAAGAAGGAAGAAGCACCAGGATTAGGTCTTACAACAGAACTCCCCAAATGACAGTGGTTGGGGAAGGGCTGGCTGTATTTCTCTCATGCAGAAGTCATCCAGGGGGAAGCAATAGAGGGCTGGCAGGAGCCCCCCTGGTCAGCAGGGACTCGCTCTGTCTGTCTCATCCTTGAGGTTACCTTAAGGTCCAACATGGCTGCTGGAGCTCCAGCCAGCACATGCAGATGTCAGGAAGGAGAAAGATGGATGAGCAAAAGGATCCAAACAAAATCAGGGTCCTATGAGCAAGGGTCCTATGGATATTGGGTTGGCATCCCATATTCTCTCCACACAAAAGATGGCTTCCTGCCTCTCTTTCACCAGTGAGGACATGCAGCCCAGAGCAGGTTTGTGGCTGACTTCAGGCCACACTGTCTGCAAACCCCAGGTGTCCCTGCCCTTTCTGGTTCATCTCCCAGGAGTGCCAAGAGGATCGGGAGAGGTGATGACATGAAGCCTTTTGAGCATGGTGACACGGCTCATTGAAAAGGTGCTTTCTCTCCTGTCACCTCATCTCCCTAGCAACTGTCAGGCAAGGCAGGGCAGAGCAGAGAAACTTCATGCCTTGTCCCAGGCTCACACATATGTGCTCGCTGCACATACGTGCCACATGCCGCACAGGCCATGTGCATCCCCAGGGATCAGTATGAGCACGTGCATGCACCCCCATGTGCCCTGACGCCCTGCCGACAGGCAGAGACAAGTTGGGTGACCCTGCGTGTCCACAGAGGCAGGGGTCTCTACAGAGTCAGGCTGCACACAGATGTGCACATGGCCAACTCTGTCCACCAGCAGAGGACAGCCCCCTTCCCTTGTTTTTGCTCTGCTGGCCCTGACTGTCAGCAGTCACTCTGGGAGCTTGGCCACCCCTGCCCCTGCTAGATGGGCGGAGTGAGTGGCCCAAGTCCTGCAAGGGTATCTGGCCCTCCCGTGGGCCATTGTGCCCCCACACTGTCCTCTACCCTCCCCACAACTTGCTCCTAGGTGCAATGGATCTCTATGGCCTTGTGCCTGCCAGTGGCCTTCCTGTGGCTGGCTTGGCCTGAGACAGGAGCAGGTCCCTTCTGGGACTGGGCCAGGCAGGATAGGGGAAGCTGCCACTGGGTCCCTCACCAAAGTCAGCAGAAGATTGTGAAAAATAACCTTCCTCTCTAGTGGCAGCAAGGACAATCAGAGCACAGGCCGGGAGCTGGCCTGATTCGTCACTGTCGTGGTCAGTGTCTGCCCCCAGTAACACCCCATGACCGTCTGTCCCCTGAGCCTTCTCCCTGCACTCCCAAGTCATTCACTTATCCTCACCTCATCCCCGGGGGGCAGGCACTGCTGCTCCCATTCTATAGACACTGGGAGTCAGAGAGGGGGACCAGCTAGTCACAGCCTCAGGACTCCATGAGCTGGAATCTATGGGCTCTTAGGAAAGAGGAGCCGACAGAACCGCAGGTTCCACTGTGGTGGACATGGCTGCCATCCTGGGTCTCCAGGGTGTGATCTCCTCACAGTCCAGCCATGCACTAGGAACCTCACGCCTGGCCTTCGGCCTTCTTGCAGGCACTTGTGGGAGATGGGCCTGAATTTGCTCCCCCATTTCCAAAGACAATCACTGAGGCCCCAGGTTGCACTGGGGGAGGAAGGTGGCTCTGCATCTGCTCTCCAGGTGGAGGCTAGAAGGTCTGTGCTGAGGGTCAGGAGCCCTGAAGTGGCCACCCCCTGCTCAAGGCCATTGTCTCCTGCATTATCTCCCTGCACCCTCATGCAGCCCATGAAGTAGCCCTTGGTGCTGTTGCCACTTTACAGATGAGGAAACAGAGGCCTGCCCTAGATTGCAAGCTACAAAGTGTTGTAGTTGGGATTTGAACCCTGCTCTGTCTTATTCCAAAGCTCAGGTCCCTACGGCTGGGGGGTCATGAGGGAAGACCACAAGGTGGAAAGGGCACACCTTTAATCGGGCAGCTGAGGAGGTGCCCCATCCAGCCACAGTGCCTGGCTCTCCTGAATGTGGCCCATTGCACCCTCTGAACCCCCTAGTGAGTGATGCAAGCCAGACCTCACCCAGGCCACGTCCTCTGCATTAGCCCTGTGACCTTGAGCCTGCTATCCCATCCCCCTTTTGGGGCTGTGGACCCAGAGCTGTGAAGAAAAGGACCTCAACGTTTTAAATTCAGCTTCCTTTCTCTTATCAAAATCCTTTGCAGACGCGGAGAGTTGCTTTGCTGATTCAGGGGCAGGGGCTTAGAGCCCACCTGCTCCCCCCAGCCCGCCTCTGGGCATCTCTGGTGACTTCCAAGAACAGCTGCAGGGCACCAAATGTGGCCTCTGAGAGGGAGAAGACACTCTTGGCTCCCAAGAGAAAGGAGAGGGGAGAGGAGCTGGCACACCTTGCTTAGCTGGGGCCCCAGCCCTAGGGCAGGAAAAGGACAGAACACAGGGAGGGCTCAGGGTGGGGCAAGTCACTGTGCTGCTCCTTGCCCGCGGCTCCCCAGCCCCAGCTGGCTGATGTCCCCCTAGAACAGGTGCATCTGTCAGCTGCGATCAGCCTAGAAGGCCACAGAGCAGCCATGTGACAGGGAGAAACCCCAGGGGACCGGCAGGTCCCAGAGTTGGAGCAGCTGAGCTGAGGCAGGAAGGCAGCCATGAGGGGGCCTGTCCTATGCCTCAGTTGGCCCAGCCTCCCCCTCTGATCTGCTGCTTCAGCTCCCTGCCCAGCCGGCCTCTGCAGCAGGCCGGCTCGTGCCTGAGCCATGCTCATCTGGGCAAAGCCGCTGCTGGTCTTCGCTGGCCTACCTCCTGCTCTGCTCGCTGCCCTCTACCCTCCCCCACCTCCAGGGCAGGCGAGGGGCAGATCCCAGTCCCCCTGCTGCCAGCACCACATGCCCCTGTGCCCAGCCCTATTTTAAGATCCTCTCTCAAGATGGGCAGTCTGGGCAGCGGCCCCAGAAAACCAAGTTCTAGCCACGACTTTGCCTGTTGACTCTGGGCAGGGCCTGTCTCCTCTCTGGGTCTTCCTGTCTGGGCCTGAGATACACTCCTAGTCTCTGCCAGGCCCCCAGGGCTTGGGGCCCTGTGTGGACCAGTGAGGGGCTGGGAGGACACAGGACACAGGCCTTGTGGACTCAGCCACCAAAGAGTACCATGGCGCAGTTCTCCCCCAAGCCCCACGCAAGCACACAAGTGCCACAGGCTTATCACAGAGCCCTAATCATCACCCTTTGGTATTGAAGGGCCCTGGCCAGGAGAGGAAGGTGGCCTGGGGAGGTGTCACTGCTGTACTTTGTCAGCGAGTGGCCTTGGCTCCACATCAGACAGACCTGGGCCCAGTCTCAGTCCCTTCATGCATTGGCTGTGTGTCCTCAGACAAGTTGTTGAAGCCCCTGGGCCATGGTCTCCTCACTTTCCTGAGGAAGTATGTCTGCCCTCGCAGACAAATGAGATCCTATACCAACTAGATTGGCCAGGCCCAGGCAGGCCTGTGGGTTGGCCAGGGTGAAGCTCCGTAAGTGGCAGGAATGTCAATGTCATTATTTTCTGCCTGCTGAGTAGAGCCTGGGAAGGCACCCCAACAGAAAACAGTGCCGTGAGCGGCTCAAGTCAACCCCTATGTTACTGTGACACCCTCGTTGCTGGGTGGTGGGGGAAGCTTGTGTCCTGGTCAAGGTGGCAGCCATCAGAGGCAGGGCTGGGACAACCCAGTTCTCCCCGTCCTGCTCCAGTGTTCTGAGAGGGGCGAGGCCCAGAGCCCTGTGTTTGTGTGTGAGTGTGTGCCCACATGCATGTATGTAGGTGTACGTGTATGTACGTGTGCATGCAGGTATGTGTATGTGTGTATGCATACATGCACATAGGTATGTGTGCAGGTGTGCATATGTATGTGTGTAGGTGCACATGTGGAGTGTGCGTGTATGCGTGTGCATGCACCTGCAGGGACTCAAGACAATTTGGCTGCCCCCTCACAAGGTGAGCTGCCTGGCCCACATCTGTCTGTGCCCAGGGGTGGGTGGAGAATCCAGGCTCCCAAAAGCCTCCCCGTCTGGGGGCCCGCACGACACAACACCCACCACTGCTTCCTGCCATCTGTTCCAAGTGATGGAAATAGAGCGAGCGACGACACGCGGGTGCTGGGTGGGCCCAGCGCTGCAGCAGCCCTGCACACGGGGGAGGAGCAGGGCATGCAGCCCCACGCCCAGCAGTCCTGCGTGTC